AACAGACTTATAATAAGAATATTTTATTTTAATATAAGATATCATGAAAGATGTTTTCAAGTGAATTGAGAAAGCAAATGTTTTTTTTTGTTTTACCAAAAAATAATCAAAACTTTAGTGAATAACCTTTTTTTATTTCTGTTTTATTAAACGATTATTACCTAGTTGATAAATATTAATGACCTAAATTATTTAAAATTAAATGATCTCAATTATTTTCTCTCTTTTTTTTATTTTTAGTCTTTTAATCTTTTATTTATATTTCTCTTGTTTAAAAATAACTTTTAACTGATCCTAGTGATATTGAAAAGATTCAATGAAAAGATAAGCCTCATTTATTTTTTTTTAAAAATTGGTTGATTTGCCTTAAGGCTTAACTATACTAATTTACTCCATATGTTAAGCTTAAAAATTTATTGAACTAAAAAAACACAAAAAAACACAACAACAACAGAATATATAGTTTAATTAGGTTTCTTTATTATCCTGTGATGTTTTCACCTAACTCCCCCCTCCACCCATTCTTTGTGCGCTTCAAGTTCATTATTATTATATCCCTAAGAATATATAGATAAGTAAATATTATAATATAGAAATGAATGTTACAGATATTTTCTTGGTTAATTAAGTCATCTAAATATAATTATGACAAGCGAATGAAAAAAAGCGTTAAACAATCAAATACAGAAACAGAAAAGCAATGCATAGTTTCATATAATAATCAACATATATATATAAATATTAAAGGTAATAAACAATAGATTAAATTTATTTATTAGGTCATTTAATAAATAGAATAGAATCTTTTTTTCACTCTAAAACTAAAGGACAGATTATTTTAATGGTTAAAAAAAAGAAAAATAAATAATGATGAAACTATTAGGTGAACAATTTTTCAGGGATTAAATTTTTTTTTAGATCAGGATTATATTCGTTCTATGAATAATGATGAAAAAAAAACCGATTTGGTAAAGAAACTTGAACATGTAGTGCCGTGCGTTGTTATTCATTCATCTTGATAACAGTTATAATACAAAGGTTAATGGTGAGTAAAATCAAAAGGCGAAGAGAAACGGCAAGTGCACTTTCATTAAAAAATGACATAGGTCAGTAGGCTTTAAGTGCATGAGCAATTTTCAGCGAGAGAATCATAAATGACACGAATTAGAGATGGCGGATAAGCCAACTCGCTTTAATCAATATTTATAGTCAGATAAAAATAAATGACAGACATGTGATAAATAGGATAAGAAGTGTACACACATACGCTCATATAAAAGATGATCAGGGTTAATAAGTGAATAATTAACAAGGTGAAAACATGACTGAAGATGGGTAGGTAAATTGGTTTGTCCAGAATCTAGAATAAAGCATACGAACTTGGCATATCAACCGACACTACAAACACAACATAAGGTTGTAATGAATTGTTCATTAGCTATTGATAATAGTTACCATGACGTTGGTGAAGAAAAATCAATCTTAATTTACTCTTTTAATTAAAAATTATTCGGTGTTTTTAGTAAACATATTGTCATGATCCCAAATAGAACTGTAGTCTAGAATCATTCAAATTTGTTAATGGTGACTAGTGGTGGAATCCTATTTGGGACTCGTTAGCTGGATGTACCTGCATCCCAGAGTTGATGTTTACTCCGGGACTTCAACTCAATACTGTTCACTTCAAACTCAATCACGTTATCCACTTAGCTACTAATTCCTGATAGCCACTAGCTTGCGCAATAGGGTGAAGTTTAAAGCTGGAGAGTCCGCACATTTCTACAATAATGTGAAAATGTTTGAAAAAGACAAGTATTTGATATTCATATAAGCTTCAATACTCTCTAGTAAACTTTAAATCAATAAAATATTTGAATAAATAAATAAATAACCGCAATTATGAAATTTTATTTTTTATTAAGTAAATATATGAAAAATTTGTTTCAACCCATTGAAAGTGAGTTTATTTCAATAATCACTTCAGAAATACCTCACCATTTTAATTATGTAATCATTCGATATAATATACAATGCAGGGACGATAAATGTAATTTGATCCAATCAGGTCATTATAAGCAAAGATGGATAGTGGCTAGTAGTGGAATCCAGAACGCGCATTTCGTCCTATTTGGGACTCCTCAGCTCGATGCATTTGCATTTCAGAGTTGAAGTTCACTCTGAAACTCAAACCCAGTACCTTTCGCTTCAAACGCCATCGCGTTATACACTCAGCTACTTAGTCCTGATAACCACTTGCTTGTGCAATGGGGTGAAGTTTGAATTCACTTAATATTGTTTGTTTGAATATTCTCATTGATGCTTAGGACTGCTACTGGTCAGTCTCTAATTAGCATATGTGCATATTGTGCGTATTGCTTCGATATTGCCTTAATTCACAAGCATTATAAGCAAAGATAGTGGCTAGCAGTGGAATACAGGACGAGCGTTTCGTCCAATAAGAGACCGACCAGTTGAAGTCCTAAGCATCAATTGAAAGATTCAAACAAACAATACTAAGTGAATGCAATCAAGTTATTCTTCATTTGAGTATTTAATTGTCTTTACAAAATATGTAAATCGCAAGAAGAGTTGATCTGGGTTTTTTTCCAAATACACTTTTTCTTGATATTGATTAATCGTTTACTAATCGGACACGTTTTATACAATTTTCGATTAAGCACTAATGTCATATTGTCCAATTTATCTACTATATAGTCAGTCAGCTACAACTTAGAACCAGACACATATATACATCGGTTTGATTTGCCATACCTTATTAGCATAACATGATGAACACTAAATTCATAGAGATTGTTACTTCAATGATTGTAATATATAAATGAAAGATTGAATATAAGGATATAATACAAGAAGAAAGAATTATTTCGTATAAAGAAAGGCACAAAGTAATTTAATTCTCACTGTTCAAATGTCTGACTTCCTATTACTGATCAATTTTTTTAATCTACTATATAAATAAACTTAGGTGTGGCCTTGATAATTTACACCAATGATGTATTAATTAGTTTCATTAATTCTCATCCATTGAAATGAGATATAAATCATTATTTGACATGTTAATTATATCCATTAATAATTAGACTATGTTCCAAATCTCCACGGTAAAAACAATACGGTTTTTAAATAATTATCATCAAATACTGATCATTTATTTTCTTTGCTGTTGAATATATATTTTACGATTTAAAAAAAATGTTTAAAGATTTGAAGTTATAAATGCTTATTATTCACTTCATACATAAATGATAAGTTATGGGTCATTCAATAATAGAAGGAAAATTTTTACGATACAACTAGTGTCTTATTAGTTGCATTAAATAAAACTTTAATTCTGATAGGTTTCGTAATTTACTCGTGAACCAGTATGCAATATTTAGCCATGACATGGTATTCTACAACTCCTAATCATTCTTAATATAGTAATTTATAAATCTTAAACTCTTCAACATTACTGAGTTATTTGAATGACTATTTAGTATAAAACTATTTTGTACATTGACTAAAATCCATGTTGATTTTTATTCATATATAAAATCAACTTTATTAGTCAAAACTTCTCCATGACCAACAATAGAACAATATGTCTGTATATGTAGTCCCTTTCTTCGATAGAACATAGTGCAGATCTACTAGTCTAGTATGGTAAAACAAATGTATAGTCTAACATATAGTAAATTTCACTATTTATTTGGTTCATATATTTGCATAATCCTGGTGAGTTCAAATGACCCCATAAAAAGTAAAAATTGAAATTCACTATTTATTTATGAGATTTTCAAATTCTCTTATATTACGTCATAGGGTGTTGCATTTTTATTAGCATAATTCGTGTTCTGTTTTATAAATGAAAAACATATCTGGAATCATACTTCAAACAAAAAAAAATATAAATGACCTGTTTAGATTTCACATTTTGCATACAAAAACTCGCTGCATTCTGTATTGTAGACCAAGCTGTAAATTATTGCATGCACACTTTTAAGTTATTCATTAGAGAAGTGATGCATCGCTTAAAGTACTTACGTTTCAACCAGTAGATAACTAATTTCATCCATGTTTCATTTAATTAGGTTTGGATAGCCTAGTAGCGTGCTTCATAACTGAACATATAGACCTTTAGTTCTTATCTAATTGGCTGTTAGAGTAAATTGCAGAAAAATATGATGGTAATCCAAATAAACAATAATCTTAATGAGGTTAATTTTTACAGGCTAATCCATAGAAGTCGCTTAAGTCAAGTGTCGGTGAAAATTTGTTAGAATCTTTCTTCTCACATTAAGAGTGACAGTTTACGGATATAATGAAGAATTCTAAAACTTGAATAAGTCAATTTGTTCATCTTTAGAACTAAATTTTAAAATAATGTGAAAAGACAAAAAAAGCTCCCTTTGAATATTGTTACATGTGACTGCTATATACTTTAATTTATTAATTTACCTAATCATAATTTTTGAGTTTCTTTAGGATGCAACATACTTTTCACAAATCATATATTTAAGCTACCATAGTGTAATGTTACATAATTCCGGTTATTCGTTATATGTAGTTATGGTATAAATAAAATAAGTATACAACAAACACTCATCTCCTTCGTTAAATATTCTGATTTTCTGATAAGCCTAAATTTATACGAAAATCTATAAGTATCCTGGAAAAAATGTCACAAATCATATAAAAATCCTTTCTGGATACTACTTACAGAAAATCAAGTTTTGTGAAATTCATTACCATTCAGTGAAGCTTAGTGGTCACCACTGCTTTTCTCACATGAATGACAACAACTTTAATCAGGATTCGGAGTGTAGCTAAGTTACATCGCCATTCAGCATCTTCTTATTCCCATCGGCTCATAAAGTTAATATTTCCCAGTAATGTAAAATGACAACACATTGAATAATCTCTTCAAATGCTGTATTTTATGATATCGATTAACATCAAATGAGATAAAACTAAAGTTTAAATCAATATTTTCTTTCCAGATTCCATTAGACCGGGAGAAAATTGGAAGTGTAACATTAGTTGTTTTGGTAACGGATTCTGTTTCACCGCCAATATTTACAGCTACAACAACAGTATCTATAGAAATATTAGATGAGAATGATAATGCCCCTGTCTTTACTAATCCTCCAGTAAGATCGTCTGAAGCACCTCAAGGCGACAATGAAAAATTTGCATTCACAGTTATAGAAAATGCTCCACGTTTCACACAGTTAAGTCAACGATTAGAAGCCAGAGATCCGGATCAAGTAATTAACAAGTTTTATTTCATTGTTCTTTGAATACTTACTTATCTTTCAGTTGGTTTCTCATAAAAAGATATACAGAACTTGTTTAACGATTGATTTTTAATTTACCCTTTAGGCAATAATGTAATAGTTTGAAACCTTGTTTTCTGATTCAGACACTAAAAGTTTATTTATGAAAGTCAGTTATTGTTGTTTGACACTGTTTGATCATTATGCTTTGTTGCTTAGGTTGTCTTCTACAAATAGTCAGTTGAACGGTAATGGATGAATGGTTTTGATTAATTCTAGCACCTGATTATGTTCAATTCACCATAAATAAATGAAAACAGCTCACAAGTCAAACAAAATACCATGAAAAAAAATTTAAACTACAATAACTCTCGTTTCTTTCAGTTTTATCAGATTAGTGAAATAAATCCAAAAGTATATTGCGATTGATCTTTTGCATAACTTATGAATAGCCCTAGTCGTTTTACAAAATTGGCTTCAGGTATAGTAAAAAACGTACCAGCATCAAATAAGTGGAGTGTTCGCTGTCAATTTCTCACATCAATCATAGGTTGGTAGATTAACCGTACATTAATTTAGCAGACAGCAGATTTCTTTGAAGTCCATACATATCATCAATACCTTTTCAGAGTAAATCCACAAAATAATATACTTTTCGACATCTTTATCATTGTTCCCAGATCTGAATTACTAATTATTAGACTTACGATATCTCTTCTATTTTTTCAGGGTGATAATGGAAGAGTTCAATTTTCTTTGCTAGCTACATATGCTCTTACGAAGTCATCAAGGCGAAATCAATTTATTGGTTCTTCACCAAATATGTTGACTAGTTTTGAACATTTCATTGATAGACCAGGATCAGATCTCAATAGTGAAGCCGGAATGACACGTCACGTGGTTGATCAGCCTATATTCCGAATTACGTCAAATGGAGTAATTGAAACACTAGTTGAACTAGATAGAGAAACAGTACCTGTATATATACTTAAAGTTGGAGTTCGCGATCGTGGAGCTCAGCCACTTGCAAGTACAACAATGTTAAGGGTAGACGTACAAGATGCGAATGACAATGCTCCCGTTTGGGTTTTCCCCACACCTGTGGACAGAACGATTAATCTAACCACTGGAATGAAACCTGGAAGTCTAGCTGGTAGACTTAGAGCAGAGGATGCTGACTCGTTCGAAGCGGGAAAAGTTGAATATCTGTTCCTTGGACCTCGAGGTGAAACAATCGAAGGTGTCACTTTAGAAGATGGTCTGCTTAATGTTCTAAATCCTCCTAAATCAAGCCTAACAAAAACAGCAAAACCTGGACAAAAGCTATCCTCAAATTCAGATGACTTGAAAGGATATCGTGCTGGCCCTTTGTATTTAAACGGAACAACCGGTGAAATATGGGTTGCTCAAGCCTTGACATCCGGAACAATAAATCTGCACTTACGTGCAGAAGACCAGGGAACCCCCCGTTCCCATACAGATGCATGGTTAACTATCAACGTTTTCATCGATCCGAGTGAAGGCATTGGATTTCTGAGTTTTGGCGGGGATGGCACACTAAACATCACAATAATTTTGGCTATGATAACTGTGACGGCCATTATATCACTGTTTCTAATTATTGGAATAGTTTGTGTTCGTCGGAGACCGACAAGATACACTTTGGCTCGTAATGTCACTGGAACTGATGGGGGGGTTTCTCCCGGAAATGCAGCCACAACGTTCTCAATGGATGTTGCTAAAGAAAACATGTCAACAAATATCAACAGTGGTTGGTCTTCACCTGTAGCTACCTACGGTGCAAATCATTTCATACCTGGGCAAGCCAATGGAGGAAACTCGATTATGGAAGACGGTCAGATGTTTACAGCGCTTTACGGGCATGGAGGGGTTATGGGATATGGAGCTGTCATGTCGCCAAGCGATACAGCAAGTTTAATTTACGTGCCACAAGCCCAAACAACACCAAATATAATAGGGTCCCTAGGAGGTTCGATGACACCAGTACCAGTTGACCTTACTACAACAAGTCCAGACTATCCTTCTCGAAATCACATGCATACATTTGGAGTAAGCGGTTTGCAATTCTATAAAGTTTATTATTTGCTTAATACTTAATTTGTTTTTCATTTATCGTGTGAAGTGGTCGTTTTGTGCATACTGTCATTTTAGCGTGATTTCTAGATATACTACACTTCTGATTCTTAAAAAATATCTACATAACCATAATAACTAGAGGTAAATGTCATGGTCTCATGTCTAAATAAAGATTTAAATCTCCATCTAGTGGGACAAAGCACACAAGCAAAAGCACTATTCGATGAGAACATTGTTTCATCACAAAACAAACAGTAAGTAATCTGTCTGATCATGTTTGATTGTATTGGCCAGAAACCATCAATCATCAGGAATAATTATTATGCGCAAGTAAGATTGATTAAATGCGTGCGAAAAATACATTCCAATAGTCTTATAGGGAGTGACTACTAATATCTTCCATTTACATAAGACTAATTCAAAAGTGTCTACGTTAGAGTGTATAATAGTTGGAGCTCTGAGAAACAGAAAATTACTGGTTGGATAAACTCGTCCTGCCAAATGTAGTTTAGATTTCATTTTTAAGAGTAGTATTGTCACTGATTTTATACTACTTTGTATTTTATATTTTAAACAAATTTCCACTAATCACATAACCAACTGATAATAGTTTGTTGACTAGTAACTGGCTTTTAAGGTAATTTCTGTGTATTGTATGAAGGAATCAAATATATCAGAATGAGACACATATCTACTGATGACTTTAGTTAATTGTTGAGTCATTGAAAATGGATTCAAGTCTTTCAATATTAGCCACTAGGTATTAACTTGGTGGCTTAATATTACTTGTTGTGCTTTTTGAAAGACCCTAATGTATGAAGTTTTATCTCTTGTGACTCATCATAAGAGAAAAACTTTAGCTTACATTCGAACTAAACATCAAATGACGTATAGAGATTCTTTTTTAGACAGTACATTTGCAGATTTCGATAATAAAATTCAATGATTTTTAACCAATAAACTGTACTTCCTATTAGTAGAGTACAAAGTACTTCCTTCATTAGTGTCATCATTATAGTTAGTATTAAGAATTAATGTGAAAATGACTGAATATTGAATAAGTATAAGCAAAAATGGATGGTTGCAAACAGTGGAATCCAGGATGCGCGTTTCGTCCTGTTTGGAAGTCGTCAGCTTGATATACCTGTACATATGCAAATAAAAGACTGATCACTTGCAGTCCTAAACATAAATGGGAAGATTCAAACAAACAATACTAAATGAATTTGAATTAGTAATCTTTAAATATACAAAAAGTTAACATTTATATTGTATGTAAGTTTAACATTTATTTCTCTAGCAAAACTATAAATCCAAACACAACTGTGATATGTTGCCGTACATTTTTCTGCAAATAACTACATACATCCAATGGTTATCAACTAAAGTTTCTCCTGCAAAGTCCATAGTTAAGAAGCCAGAAACGCTTCTAAAGACTAGTTTTATGCCCAGTTCAAATAACAATAATAGGAAATAGCTAAATAAAAAAATCAGTAAAATAAACAATTTATCTACTTCCAATCCAGATTCATGTTGTTTTGTTGTCTGGTTAATTTATTCCACTGTTAATGTAATCAGTCTGAATTACTCAGTCATGTTGCTAACGTGATCTGGAATTGTTTTAAAAATGTAGTGATTTGTCATTTTACTATAGTAATAATTTTAATTATTTTTTTTATTCATATCGTGTTGTACTACTGATTCATTTTATTGCATCAATTTGTTCAAATTTATCTGAAAAAGAAAATAATAACTGATTCAGTTTAACCGCAAATTACACAACAGAAAGTATAATAGATTCATAGTGGAACGACATCTGACAGATTGAAATTTTTGATTGGTTTCGCTTTCTACAAGCCTAAAGTTTAAACAGTTTTGTTGCAGTAAGCTCTGACGATGTTATCCAAAATGATAACGATATCTCTACAATGAACTTATCTACTTTAGAGAGCCGAACAACAACAAAACATTCACGCAATTTGTAAACTGCCTCCATTATTAGAACCTTTGTTGTTAACACTGTTTCATATTGTCACCAAATGATTATATACTATGTGTATGGTATCTTATGGGAAGGGGCTAAATAAACCGGTACTCCTCTCTGTTGTTGTTTACTGTTCATTAATATAATATACACCAGCAATAAACCGTTTACAAAATCTCCCCCAACATGTTTTAAAAATTGGTATATTGTTGATATCGGCATTGTAATTTTTTTTATCATAAAGCTTTAGGATAAAAGGTACCAAATAGCCTTTTTGTAACACTAAGAAATTTTAAATACTAAGTGCTAGTTACAAACTAAAAATTATCTTAATTAAAATATAAATACTTTCAAAATTCACGGAAGGATTATTAGAGTGAAGATAAGAATTAAAAAACTAAAAACTTTTAATTTGTGTTAACTGACCATCACCGATAAGACATTTGAGATCTCAACTAATTCAATCATTAAAAAAGACAACTTCGATCTCAATCTTTTTACAGTATTGGCCGAAATGCAACTTAAACAACAGAATCCGATAAACACTGAAGCATAAGCAGACTGGTCCTGGTTGTTACCTGGTGACCAGGTAATTTAGTCATAAAAAGAAATATAGAAGGCCAAATATGCCCACTATTTATTGTTCACAAAAGGTCGAAAATGCTGTATGTAATTTCAATATTTACATTACTTAGTGGTCGAAAGGTGTTCATTCATTGCATTTTAAGTGTTTAACCATAGCCATAGTATTCCTTTCCTTGTTATTGGTAAATACCTTCTGTGTTTTCCTCTTACATCGAATAACTTGATTTCGTCTATACTTTACATTTTTTAGAATAAAAAAACAAAATAAATAAAATTACAAAGTTGTTTAAATAGTAAAATACGCTAATCATTCTATCCTCTTCGAATTCTCAACAAGAAAGTAAACATACAAACCAATAGTTCACTGATTATTCACTGTCTTAATAGAAATCAATAAAACATATCCTTCTAGTTATATTAGATTATAATACATAATAAAATAATCAAAATTGTAAACAATAATAATATTAAAGAGCAACTTAATGAATAAGTTTATTCACAGTTGAAATCATAAGTCAATTGAAGATAGACCACCATGAAAAACCTGGAACCACTGGACGGCCGTTTCGTCCTACTGTGGGACTCCTCGTCAGCGCGCATCCACGATCCCACTGCACGAGATTCGAACCCAGGACTTACTAGTCTCGCGCCAGAGCGCCTAACCACTAGACCACTAAGCCGGCGTCCGATGATGTTAATCTCTAACTTCAACCATTCCAGGTTTTCAATGGTGGTCTAGCTTCAATTGACTCATAATTTCAACTATGAAAATAATGAAATCTCCACAAAACCTCTCTTCTGAAGTTTATTCACATTTCGAATTTTGTTCATTTTTTTCTATGTTTTAGTCTTTTTTTCTTTCTCTTTTTTGAATACATAACTTGTTCAAGTTCAAAAGTTCAATTTCATATCCATCAATCATGTAATATTTAACATTGTTTTAATTTTATAATATTTTATTTCCTTAAAAAAATTATAATAAAATAGGAAAATATTTCCAAATTCATCTAATTTGATTTGTTGTGAAGAAAATTGTTGTTTTTGTTTTTTCCTCCTTTTAATAGACAAATCATTGAAGTGAATAAGAGAAAAGACAATATTTGCTTGAGTTAAGATTTAAAAATGCTTTTTTATACTTTGTTTTAGCGAATCCGAAAGAATAATATGAGTAATCACTATGTAGAGTCTTAAATTTTTTTTAAGAATCTGCAAGGAATATATTGTAGTGGTTTAGCTTTGTTAATCAATTACCTTGATAATTATTATTATATAAATCCCAACAGTATTTGAAATCAGACGGTAATAAGAAGCGGCGACTACGGTTAATTGGCGGATAGTACGAATAACTAATCTACAACTACATCGACCGAATTCGAAGCAGAGAGGCGAATATCTGTTTGCGAGCGAATATAGAGGCAAACTTATGGTCAAGTTGAATGAAGGCAAGTATAGAAAAGACAAAGGCTAGTAATAGGATAAGAGTACAAATACACATGGGAATGGGAATAACTCATCGAGTGATATTTAAGCGATTACCATTTTAGCTAAAGAGAGATATGCACGTAGGCTGTCACGTGATCAATCGTACACGTTTATGCGGACAAGATAGTGAATATAATAGTACAAAGAAATATGTGAATTGTTACTGTCCGAATAACATTGTCTATTAAATAAGTTAATAAAAGGGCTTAGCAAAATTTAACCATGATCGAAGTTAACTGTAGGAGAGTTGCTGCAATATTGAGTATGGTGAATATCACATTTGATCTAATATTTGTTTAGTTTCATTTTGCGTATTCGTGGAATAAACAGTTAGGTGAATTTAGAAACCAATTTTATCCAAAATGACACTACAATTTATGTGATCATTTCAAAGAATTGTCTAATATCAGAAATATAACTGACTATATATTTCATTTAGAACCGACATCATGAGTTATAAAATAAAAGATTATCAACTAAACTACTGGCTAGATTGTAACCATTGCAATCAAAATATTTTTTTATCCCGGAGCAACCATTTAAAGTGATGCGAACCATTTTCAGAACATCTATATTTCAATGTTCTTTCAGTTACTGTCTAGACTGACTTTTGAATGTTTTACTTACTCTAGTGTTAAATACTGAATTTTACAACTGAGCATACAATCTGATCATTTGGTTAAACTATAGTGTCGCCAACATTCCATTTGTTAATTTAGTTATTCTCTGGTTGTAATGACTATTTTACCAAAAAGAAGTAGAGAGGCAAAAAATAAACGTATGGAGACTTATGAAATTATATTTGTCGTTGATTGAACATCGTTAATATTTAAATTTCCGATATTATTTTCTACATACATTTTAGACTTTAACACGAACACGTGGTTCAGTTGGGCAAAGTGTATTTGCAGCTCCATCTGGTTGTGCAATCGCTTATGAACCTCATTTAGATGCTGACAGTGGGGATTCAGGTAGAGGTCCATCTGAAGAAGGCAATCAATTTTTATTATCAGATAATTATAGAAGTAAGTAGTTTTTTATTTTTAAAACTGATTTGTTAAATTTAACATACATATCGTACTTTGTAAGCTATTGAAACTCATTTTACTTTTGAACGCTGTATTTTGAAGAAAGATATCCCATAAAATCTAACACCTTCATTGGATATCCTATTATATGAATGAAGAATATTCTTTTTGATAAATTCTCTTTAGGTTTTACAATCATATATCCAGATTAATAATTCAATATGTAACTAGGTGTAAAGCAAAATACATAGTTCAAAATCATAACATGGGAATTTAAGGTTTTGTAATAAAATGAAATCCATAATGTTGATCTGATTAATATGCAACGTTAACTTGAATAAGCCTAAATGTTAAATGAAATATGGGTCAGATAGAGTGAGGGGAATAATAATATAATTACCAAATCTATCAAATGTCTAGTAGAACACTGTTTTGTGTGTAATGTTATATGAATTTAATAAGAAATAATGAAGGATAATGAGTGTTATGTAATCTAATCATGCGTTCAGGTGATTATTAGTTATGTTGAACCAATAATAACGTGAAGTGTTATTAACATATCTTCTTTTTAGGAAGCGATGTAAAATCCTCTCGATATAGCCTGATTGTTTTGCCATTTCTTTCACTAGAATTATGTAATTTAATTCAATGAAAACCTAAAAATTTGTCACTTTGCTATTTTTGAGATTAATTCAGGCTACAGTATTTCACGAATGACAGTAAGTAATCAGTCTAGTTATTATTATTATTTAACAAACATTAGTAGGTATCATTACCATGTTTGACTTGATAATTTCGAATAGATTGAGCACAGAGTGGATTGTTATTTATTCTCTAAAGAAGTGGCTTACACTGAGTCACGAAACGTTAAGAAATCTAACTTATGGGGTTATTACAAATATATTATCCATTATTAATCAGTAATTAAATTTTTGATTGGATAAATTCAATTACGTTTGTTTCATAAATCAATAAACTATCCGTTAAGTCTAATAAAAAATCTGAAGGTATTAAGTTATGAAACTTTACAGGTGTATATCATGATTAATTTAAAATTTTCAAAAGATGTATTTTTCCGCCTTAATACACAATAAAACACAATTATTTACACAATCAGTAGAAATATACTTAATTACAAATGTATAGATATACATACTAAACATGAAGTAGTTACCAACTTAGTCGATCCTAGGGGTGATTGTCACTGAAAATACAATCTGTTTTGAAATGCAACTATGACATGATCTGAATGAATGACAATTCAGCTCCCTATTGTAATTCATATACTTACTAATGCTTAGTGTATGCAAATTTGTATTTTATAGACTCGTCCTGACACATATCATATGAATATGATAGATGTTTCGTTAGTTTAAGAATTAATTACTTGCACGAAATATTTGTTATTTTGATGTTATATACATTTGGACAAGTATGCTATCAAGTACAGTAGCAGTTCTTTATAATACTAATACTATCATTGTGTATTTATGCTGCATGGATCTAACATTTACAACACTCAGTTAATAATGAAAGAGAAAACAATTTTGAACTTGAACCAGGTTTTGCAACTTTATTTAAAGAAACAAAAAATAAATGAAAATAAGTAAAAGAGATTTGAACAATTTTCTAGGCACCTGAACAACTCAAACTAAGAAAAAAAACAATCAAATTTTTTTCTATTTTTCCATTTTGTTTTTATTTATTTTATCACTTGAAATGGTGAACAGATTTTATACCGCAAAAAAAGATGAATGAAAAAATGACATTCATTTTCGTTGTTGTTAGTTTCCATAGAAAAAAACAAAAAAAAACAACAACAAAGCAATCTTTGATAAAAAAATTCTTTTTAAAGTAAAGGTGTTTATATTGTGCGTTATTATTTCAAAAGTCAATTGAATTAAATCAGTTATTCTCTTCTTTTCTTGATTATTTATTTATTTAATAAATTTATTTTATTAGTGAAAATACAAAAAAAAAAGAATTGTTAACAACTAGAAATACTCCTAGTAACTTATTAACTTAGATAAAATTAAATTATTCCCTATTGTAAGTAATGATGATTTGATAATGAGATAAGAACATTTATAGTTTTGAACTAACATTATTTTTATTTTATTTTATTACTGTAAACAAAATAACTGAAATAAGTATAGTATGTACTTAGGTATTCTATTGTTTATAATGAAATGAGAAAATGATTAACTAACTGGTATTAGGTACATATTTACTTTCTTGGAAACCATGTAATGTAGCAAATAGTAAAGATTAAACTTTGGTTCTTATTAGCTTACAAATATCCAATATGATAGAAGTCCCATTTACAGTAAACATTATCTTCGTTATTTAGATATTTTACTTGAATCAATGCAGAAATTTTGAAGAAACTATTAGGAAAAAAAACTATAAGTTGGCTAGGGAGTCCAACGATGAACTGCTTAGGATGTTTATTCTTATATAGAAGAATAGTATTTTTGTTCATGCAATCAATCTGAATAATCATCAAACATATTTCACAGCTAAAATGTACGTACATATGTGAATAAACTAAAACATACAACAGATGATTGAATATTTTCACATCAACTAGTGAATATCTGTACTGAAGACTTAGTGCTATTTTGTGTGTGATAGAATGTTGCCAATCTGACATAAGGTAATAATACATTGCACTAGATATATTCTTGGATTGATTGGTCAATATTATGTTATTCCATGAAAGCTACCTTTTAAAGGAGAGTCCTTAGACTCTTAGTTGTAAGCGTTTACGATCATATTCAGGCCTTGAGATCACCAGCTCTTGCTTAATAACTACTTGTATGTTTATTTATCTACATTTAAATATATATACATGCAATTATATCCTGATAAACTTAACAAATTTCATTTAATATTTGGATGTAGACGGCATGAACATACCTGGACAGCATGGAACATATCAGTATAACACGTACTCTGGATATCGACCAAGTAGTAGAATTGGCTATTACAGGAATCCAAGTTTAGATAACACA